AGCCGGGATGTCCCTGTCCCCCATGGTGTCCCCTTGCCCCCCCCAAGATGTCCCCTGCCCCCCCGAGGTGCAGAGTAATTAAAGCCGCGTGTTGGTTAACGCCTCGGTCGTAGTGACACGGCTCGATTTAGGGTGTCGCATTAAACACTAGCTTCATCGTGTAGGCTGGGTTACTTTGTGCAAACAAGACATGCTTTGCCAAGGACTATACCCTCGGAGAAGGAGCTAAAGACTGATGAAAAGGGAACATCCTGCCCCAAAAAGCACCGAAAGCCAGGCAATTGCCCAAGAATCGTGAACTGGGGGAGGGGGGAGGTAAAGGCGGCAGGGGAGATTGCGACCACAGACTCAAATCCAGAGCAAGACGACTTGCCCCCTGCCATCCCCCCCGTAAGGAGCGTGCATGCCAATTTACACAGCAAGCAAGACTAATTTAAATGTAACTAACCAATAACAGAGGGGGTGGTGATTACTAACCAAGGAGCGTAAATTTAGGCAGGTTTTTACTAATGGTGTAACAGGATAAAGATGTTGCGGTTCTTCGGTGTGGTGTGCTAGCTCTGTGGAGTCACCACCTGGCACCCACCTCTGCGCAAACATGAAATAAAAGAAATATCTCGGCTCTGCGTGTAAGATTGGCTTATTGCACACCGGATACTGAACCCCGCTCGTGGGACAACAGAGGTGTCCCCCAGAATGCCTCTGGGACAGCGCTGGCACGGCCCTGGGCCCTTCCCGCCGGCAGAGCGGGCACTGCCGATCCGGCGGGCATTGCCCCCGAATCCCTGCCCGGGTTATTCACAGCCCCGCGGCCAGGCGAGGGGACCAGGAGGCCAGCAGTCATGTGCAGGCACGCACGGAGGCACAGGCACGCACGGGCACACATGCACGCACGCGGGTGTGCAGACATGCAGACACGTGCATGTATGCAAGCTTGCATGCACGGCCACGTGCGCACAGCCCTGCCGGCGGCCACGTGCGCGCCGCGCACAGGCAACACGCAGACTTGCGCGCACATGCACGCAACACGCGTACCCACGTACGCACCCCACACGGCTTTCCCACAGGTCTCTCTTTATTTCTCACTGCTAGAAAACTAGGAAAGGCTCCGGCAGCCTGGCCAGGCGCAGCCTCCGTCCCCCATTGCCCACCCCATGCAGGTGCCGCAGCCGTGCCTAGCGTGCCGGGGCCAGGTGTGCCACAGCGGTGCCTCGCATGCTGGGGCCGGGGATGCTGCAGTGGTGCCTTGCGTGCCGGGGCCAGGTGTGCCACAGCGGTGCCTCGCATGCTGGGGCCGGGGATGCTGCAGTGGTGCCTTGTGTGCCAGGACCACTGTCGGGAGTGCCGCGGCAGTACCTCACGTGCCGGGGCTGGGGTCGGGTGTGCTGTGGCGGTGGCTCACATGCTGGGGTCGGGGTGCCGCGGCAGTGCCTAGCGTGGCGGGGCTGCGGTGCGGCCAGGCAGGTCGCAGCGGTAGTGGAAGATCTGGAAGCAGAGCAGGCTGCCGAGCAGCGAGGGGCTGAAGGTGCCCACCTTCTTGAAGCCCTGGCCCTCATAGAGCCGCTGGGCTGCCACCTGCACCATGGAGGTGGAGAGGACCACCGCCTCGTACCCCCGTGCCCGGGCAAAGCGCAGCACCTCCCCGCAGAGTGCTTTGGAGACGCCCCGACCCCGGTAGTCCTTGCTGACCGACATTCGCTTCAGTTCCAGGGCCACCCCTCTCTCGGCCGGATCCTGCGGCGGTGCCACGGCCACCATGCCCACCACGGACCCCCCAGCCTCCGCCACCCAGAAGCAGGAGTCGGGTGCCCGCAGGTAGCTGGCGGTGATGTCGCAGAGGTCGGTGCTCAGCGCCTGGCGCACGTAAGAGGTGCTGAAGGAGCGGACCAGGAGCCAGGTGGCCGCCAGCACCAGCGCCACGGCCCCCAGCCCCAGCACCCAGTAGCCGGCAGCTACCCGCGCCGCCACGAAGAAGACCAGCAGCCCCAGTTGCGCCCACGCCGAGCGCAGGAAGTGGCGGTAGCCGGCCGGTGCGTGCTCCAAGATGCCGCGGGCGAAGAGGGACCGCACGGCGTCGTAGTCCTGGTCCCGGTACTGTCGGATGCGGTAGGACGCCATGGGCTGCCAGCAACCTGTGGCACGGCATGGGGGTGTCAGGGCAGTGCCTGCCTTGGACGGGGACCCCCAGAGTATCCCCAGACCCCATCGCTGGGACGGCACGGCCGGCGAATGGGCAGGAATCGCTGCCCAAGCACGGGGCAGCCGCATTAGCTCCCATCAGCGGGACACCAGCCTGCAGTCTGCATCGCCCCGCTGGCATAATTACCCTCTTCTCACTAAAAATCACCATCACCAGCCTTGCCTGGGGCAGGCGTCTGGGCACCCTGGCCCCTTGTGGGGTCCCTGCTCGCCCCCCCCTTGCCCCACTCCTCTTCCCCCTTGGGGATCCCATGAATCCCCTCCAAGCATCACCCATCTCATCCCAGATTTCCCTGTTTCCCGAGGCCATGCTGGGGGCCGGTCCCACACGGGGGGGTCTCTGTGAAGGCAGGGGTGAAGTGGGCTGGGGGGGTCCCGTCTCCCCCTTGATGGGGCCTCAGAGATTGATCCCACCCACCCCGGGCTGCAGGGAGCGGGTTCAGGCTGGGACACGCAGGAGGGGACAGCAGGACCTGGGGGGGGGACACGAAGGGAAGACCAGGAGGATTTGGGGGTGCCTGCCCCTCCCGTTTCTCGAGCAGCCCTGGGACCCCGGCACTCACCGGCGGCGGTGCCAGCCGCCCGGGAGCCGTGGCACGACGAAACCTGGGCAGAGGCAGGCGGCTGCCTGCATGCCTGTCCTTTGCCCCATGGTGCTGTGGCAGGAGGAGGGCAAAGGGACACGGGGGGGAACGACAGGCACAGAAACCCCCAGGGGCTGCTCGGGATATGCAGTGGGCTTGTGGCCCTGCTCGGGGTGGGGGGACTGAGCCACCCTGGGCATGGGGACCCCCAGCAGGGACAGCATCCCTTGCCCCAGGGAAGGGGTTGGGGGCTCCGAGCTGCCAAAAACCCCATGGGGGTCTGCAGCGGCCTCGTTACTGGGAGCTAAGGGGGAGTGTGACATCAGCCCCCCCACTTCAAGGTCCCGGCACGCCGCATCCCCCCCGCCTTGGCAGACTCCCAGTCCCCCACCGCCTGCTGCTACCGGCTCTGCCGCTCCTTAAACCGGGGACCGCAGCTGTGCAGGTGCCCCAGGCAAACGGGGGGGGGGGTCCCCTCTCTCCAGACCCTGGGGGTCCGGCAACCCCCCTTGCACGGGGTGGGGGCCTTTGCTTCCTGCAGCCCTGACGCTGGCCTGTGCCGGCGGCTTCCGCCGCTGCCGCAGAAAGATGCCGGCTACTTTCAGCCCATCGTTCTGCAACCCTTGGGGAAGGGGGGGGGTGTCTCAGCCAGCTTTGGTGGGGGGGTCCGGTGACAGCACCGGGCTGTACCCCCAGCTCGGTCCTTACCCGGACTGACGGCGGCTCTGGGGACGTGGCAAGCGCAGGCGCCGAAGGGGAAGTGCTGCGCCCGCTAATGCCGGGATGCTGCCATAAACAGAGTCCTGAGAAGGTTATGGGGTTACGCTCAGCCTTGGCTCAGTGAACGGGGCGGGGAGCGCTTCTGTGCGGGGATGGGGGTCGCGGGCGGTGGAGGGGGACGGGCAGAGCCCGTCCCCCTCCACCGCCCGCGACCCCCATCCCTGCCAAATGGAGAGATGCTTTGGCACTGGACCCCCACAGTGGGGGGAAGCCTCACTGGAGGCTGGGGGGGGGGGGGGGGCAGGCCCATTTAATCCCTTTACCAGCCCCCGAGGGCTGCTGTAGCCCCCAGCCGCAAACTCCCCTTTTAGCAAGGGGGCTGAGCGCCATGGAACTCACCCAGCTCAGACCCACCGGGAACTTTGCCAGGACTCAACCGCAGGCAGCGGCGGTGCCTGGTGCTGCCGGGCTCCCTGCCAGCGGGGCTGGGGCTCGTTTTATGGCCAAGTCACCTTTCATCCCTCGAGTGAAGGTCATCGGGGTCCAAGGAGCCCTTGAGGACAGACAGACCCCAGGAGCGGGTGTCCTCACCCTGGAGGACTGGCCAGCAACCGGCTGACCACCGTCCCCTGCCCAGGGACCCCTGCTGGCAGAGCGGGTCTGGGGGAAAACATGGGAGGGTTGTCCCCATGGGCTTATGGTGATGCCCCGTGGGTCCAGTTTGCTGCTGTCCCCCCCAGCTCTGTGCTGGACCCTTCCCATGGGGATGCCACGGGCACACTCGCGGTGCTGGGGACCCCCAACATCCCACTGGAGCAGCCACCCCAGGACCCTATGCCAGCACGGGAAGAATGACCCAGCCCAGCACTGCGGACAGTCCTTTATTTCTCCAGCCTGTACAGGGGCAGCGCCTGACCTGCAGGCACCGTGGAGCAGCCAAGATGAGGGGGGGCATGGCTAGGGGGTCTCCCTCGGGCAGCCACATGCCCCCCAGGGGACACGGACGTATTGGGGCCAGGCAAGGCACAGCCGGGCAGGGCTTAGTGGGGAGCAGCGTGGCACTCCCTGGCAGGGTGGGAGCAGCTGTCCCAGCCCCTCCTCTGCGCCCCGCAGACCCCCCACCGCGCATGGCATAAGAGTCCCTATCCCCCATGCCACCCCTGTGCCGGCGTGCGGCACACTCCCTGAGAAGCGATGCCCGTGCGGCTCCACGGCGAGGCACGAGCCGGAGCCAGGGGGGTACTCAGCGCCCTGCGGCAGCACCTGGTCCGGTGGGCACAGTCAAGAGCAGCGGCCCGCGGCACAGCCAGTGTGGCGGGGCTCTGGGCACAGGCTCCCCCCATGCCCCTCGGCCCCACGTGGGGAGCACGCCTGGCTGTGCCAGTGCCGGGGCACGATGCCCACCCTCCCTGGGGCTGCGGCGAGGCTCAAGGTGTGCCGGACAGGTCGTAGCGGTAGGTGGTGATGGTGCAGTTGACCAGGCGGCCGTAGGCGGTGGGCAGGACGTAGTGGCGGTGCCGGCGGAAGCCCAGGCGCTCGTAAAGGGCGCGAGCCTCGTGCTGCAGCATCAGCGTGTTGAGCACCACGGCCCGGCAGCCGCGCTGCCGCGCGAAGGCCAGCACAGTGCGACCCAGCGCCGTGGCGATGCCCAGGCCCCGGTAATCCTTCCGCACCGACATCCTTTTCAACGCCAGCTCCCCGTCGGTGCCGTTGTCGGCCGGTCGCACGCCCACCGTGCCCACCACCCTCTCATCCGCCTCGGCCACCCAGAACTGGGCGCCGGCGCTTTCGGCGTAGGCGGCCCCGATGTCCCGCAGGTCGTCCCCGAGGCAGCGGTCGATGTAGGTGCTCCAGGCGCAGCCCAGGAGGTGCCGGGCCAGGGCCAGCAGCAGGGTGAGGGCCAGGATGGGCAGCAGCAGGGAGCGGGCGCTGGCTAGCAGCAGGCAGAAGGTGCAGCCCAGCGCCAGCAGCGCCCAGGGCTGCCGCAGCACGTGCAGGCACAGCGCCGGCGCGTACTCGCTCATGCCGGTGGCGAAGACCTCCCGCACCGCCTCATAGTCTTCCTCGCGGTACGGCCGGATCCGGTACTCCACCATGGTGAGTGCTAGGGTGGGAATGGTGGGGAGGGGTGCTCAGCCCTGGTAGGTGACCCCCATCGCTGGGGCAGGCTCGGGGGTCCCGTGGAGCTGGTGAGGCCCTGCTGCCTGTGGGGCCGGGCCGGTGCAGGCAGGGAACCGGCTGCCCC